ATTTGGTCCTCCTGTAATAAGACGCTGTTTTTTTTAAAAAATGAATATATCGAGAAAGGCACGTTCATTTTCTTTGAAGCTTTCAGAACTTTCTAATAACTAATAGATCTATCTATAGGCAAAATTTCAGGTCAAAATTAATTGTTTTAAGGTTTTTGGAAATATCCTGTCCCGAGTAAAAAATCCAGTAAAACGACCATAACTCTTCACTAATACGCCATGGGAACGAACGCTTCTAGGGTTTTCTTAGTCTCACTGAGGCCTACCTGTAGCCAAAAGCTCGGAATCAGTTGGATTTGTTCCCTTGTGAGTGAAATCAATATTCACTTCCACACTCTTTATCACAGATTTCGTCTAGTTATACACAGTATTCGTTAGACACCTTCTCTAGTTCGCGCGTAATAAATATTTAATCTTTTAGTAAATTATTTGTTGTATAAAAATATATATCAAATGTAAATAAACAAAAAATAATTCTCAGTTTCTAAAAACTGATGACTCCAATAAAGCGTACTTCTCTTATAACAACAAAGTATACTGGACATATTGAAGACATTTCTATACTTCAAACATTGCTTCGTACTGATCTATCAAAGCCACGAATACCAGTAACACATCTTTTCATTGCTCATTATCATGCTTATCCATGTACAGTTGTAATTCAAGCTTCAACTAGTCTAGGTAAACTTCATGTTCCTACGATACGTCGTTATCTTGAAATCGATCATAAACATAATTCAATAGAAGATATTGTCAAACGTGAATATCATCCAATAGTACGTTCTTTGTATATAACTGATTTTCTTGCTCATCTCGGTAATGGTATTATGCTTGATTGTGAAAATTGTCAATTAATAAATGATGTCGATAATCCGAATAAATATAAATCAGATGGATTTCATGATTATTTTTTAATAGTTGATAAAGCACGAATTAATTATTTACCTGAACACGATATTTATGTCAATGAAGAATTAGCCAGTAAATTATCATCATTTTATGTTCTTCAATCAAAGGCAACAACTATTCAAGTATTTTAACAAAGAAAAAACTTTACATATAGAATTAAAATCGAGGCAAAAAAGTTTAGAAACTCAGGATTCGTTTGACTTTTTTTCTGTAACGGTAAATTATGAGAAGTGCTTGTCAAATTTCCATTAACAGGTTTGACTGAAAGATTTCAGGAAACAAATACTCTCAAAATTAGGCATCTAGATTTTGTCAAAGATATTTTACTAACAATTTCATCTGATAGAGAAAATTTCTCGAGTTCTTCACGATCTATCTTTAAAGAACTATACTTATTCTATAAAAGGCCCAAGATGTAAAATAGGTTTACATGAATTTCTGTCTGATGCGAAATTCCGATGACATTTCGGTTTAGACTCGAATTTCTTTCATTAATTTCAGTTAAAATCCAAAATCCTATAAAAAGTAGATATACTCCGTCGATCGAAAATATTACCTATAAATTGGTCTAATGATTCTTAGAATATCTTGAAAGTTTCATCCGAAAAAAAAGTTTCTCTCTCGAGTTATTGAATTTTCAAGTGAACTCGATTTTTTGTGACAAAGGGCTATTTTTTAAAAATTTAATATATTGACGAAGAAATATTCTTTTTTGACTGAAACTTCGAAGATATTCTCAGAGTTATTAGATATATCTGTAGGCACAATTCTGTCATCTGGTTTTTTAGAAACTACCTATAAATGAATCGAAAATCCATTAAACCGATCATAACTTGGCAACAAGGACCAATACTTTTAGGCTTTAGTTATTCTCACTGAAACTTGCCTTTAGGTTGAATATAAGTTCAAACGACGAGTGTCACTTGAGAGAGTTTCCTAGTTAGCGGTTTGCATTTTCAATAAAACATACTACTCAGCAAGATTGCATAGTCCATCGTCATACAATGATTACCATTCTTTGAAAATAGGTCGTGAAGAGCGCTTGCAAAACGCTTTTGATAGAATTCGAAAACTGTTTTAGAAATCTTGGTTTTCTAGCATGAGTTGCCTAATTCGAATTCGAATATAAATGGACACTCAGCTACATAGTATCAATTCGAAAATAAGTGATAGAAATAGATTTAGTTTTATATTTAGATTTACTTTAAGAGGGACTGCATGTGCTGCCCCTGCTGACGGTGCGGGGGACCTGGTGAGG